GGTGACTTTCCCACTCTGACTCCCTCCTCTTCCTCCCACGCGGCTCTCTCTGTTTGCTGGGAGGAGTGACCGGGCTGTCAATTCCTCCCAGCTGTGATGTCATCACAGGGGGCCCCGGTCGCGCTGTTAAAAGTGCCACTGTGCTGACCGGGCCCCCTGGAAATTAATTTCCATCAGGTGTCACTAAGAGCATGGGCCACCGATGGACCCCTTAACGTGCGGCCCCGGTGGTTATATTATTTTTGTACCTATGTAACATGTAATTACATTTTTAATTGTGATCTTAGTATATACACTTTGGTCTCATATATATATTTATCTTTTACAGGTTTTACATTAATTACATTAATTATGGTAAATATAGTGAGTACCACTATACTCACTATACTTTTTTTTTTTTTTTTTAAATCCCCGGACAGAATTCAGAATCAAGAGTCAAAACAAACATTCTCTGCCATTGTGCATTTTGGTTGGTCTATGATTCAAATACATTTAGACTCAGACTTCATGAATTCCATCAATTACTCAATCGGACCAAATTCGGACAAATTTCAAACAAAACTAAATTCCAAGTCTATTTATTACTCTGTTTTAAAATTAATTTACAAAAACTTCCCAATAAATAGCAAAAGACAGCAGCCTCTATTATCTTTACTTTGTTAATTTTTACTATTTTGTGCATGAGAAAATTATATCTCCATAAACTAAAAAGTGTAGTGGCAGAAATATATATGTTTTTATTTTGGGTATTATTTATGTTGTTTATCTGAGTTGCAATTCATGTGTAATTCATTTCACACCGGATTCCGTTCTTATTGCTACGATGGGGCATTTTGCTGGAATCCATAACATTTGATGTGCAATATCTGTCAGGTGATAATATCCTTTCCTGGGGGTATCGTTTAATGATTTCTGTGAATATTCCTCTTGACAGGGCTGTATTTCAACCCACACTAAGTATATGGTCCTCATTACTTATAGGCAAAAACTCACTGGCTACATTCTTCTGATTTTAGGGGGGTACTAAGGCATGTAAAACAGCATGAATTGGAGATTACTGTTTAAGAAAAAAATTCTTGATTCTGCACCTAATTGTACAATACATTCATGTGTTCAATATCAATTGAAGAATAATTGAATAACAGCTAACATACATTGTCTGGCATTAGTAAAGAAGATATATGAGGAATAGTTGATGCAGACATGAAAAAAGTAGATATCTAATAGTAAAGACAGCTTTTTTGTAAATGATGTGTCGTGTGCATTTTTTTGTTGTTGTGATAATAGCAATAAAAAACATGTTTAAGATTTATGGTAAGGTGTGTAAATCTGCCTCTCAAACCCGTGATGTCATACTCTCCCATCTGGCTTGGGAGGATCAGATGAGTTGTAATACATCAAGAGATAGAAAGCAACAAATTGACCAATTGAAATGTACACGTTTAAAGGAACACTATAGTGTTAGGAATACAAAACTGTATTTCCAACACTAAAGCCTCCTCTAATGTTAGCGCCAAGGGGTAACCCAATGCACATGCACTACGAGCTCTGAGTCTCTCTAAAAATGCAATATTTTACATTGCCTTGTTAAGGGACATTGCACACAGACAGCTTCAATAAGGTGAAGTGGGCTACAAGCCTGTAGTGTCCCTTTAAGGCATAACAAGCTATCTATGATAACTAATATACACATTATGGAAGCATTGTTACATATGGAAACAATTATATTTCACTATATTATTACATGTTTAATGCGTAGAATGTACTTTATAGTAAAATCTAGTGTTTAATGGAAATAATATTTAATATTTAATCAAAAAGATTTTCATGTAAAATGCAAACATCACATACTGATTTATTATGTATATATGTTGCAGTACACTAATTGACCCATTTTTCCACCTGTTTAGCCAAGCGATTAGTTTCCGAATTGGGTTTTTGGTAGACTTGTGTAGAAATCCCATTCAGCTGTACTGAACAAATTGAATGCTTGTTAAGCAAAGGACAAACAAAATGATTAATTAGTGATTTGCCAAACAGGATTAGGCACAAGTCTAATTTTTTTGTTCCGTGCACGTCTACATTACATATCTTCTATAGAGGTGGAATTGTTATACAGTCAGAATAGCATTTTATTGAATTAATTGGTTCATAACAAGCAATTCAGTTCATTTTAAGTCAAACACATTAAAAAAAAGCACCATAACCACTACCTCTCTGTAGTAGTTTTGGTGCCAGGAATCAAATCTTGTATAACATACAGGTATCTCACAGTGGGTAATCAAATTACAAGTAATACACAGTATGTATATTGCAACAGTGTAAATGTTCTCTATTTACTTACTTATGTAAGTTGTGTAAAATGTTGCAAACAGTATGCAGGTCAAACTGCCAAAATGTTGAAGGATAGGTTTAGGGAGTATATTTACAGGTAGTTCTCACTTAACGACTAACCGGTTTACAGACTGCTAGCAAATACGACCAGCTCTCTAGCACGGGGAATCCTCTGAATGTGAGTTTCTGAGCTTCCCTATGCTAGTGAACTGGTCTATAAACAAATATGAAAGCTAACTTTGGCCAGGGTTTGTGTCTAAGTGACCACTAAAAAAGAAAGGTCATACCCCATTTTGATTACCCTGGGTTGTCTGCTTTTATAAATATTATGACATGGCGGGGGTAATTCCCATACCTTGGCTTCCATACGGTCTCAAAGGCAACATAACCAATCTGGCAAATTTCAATGTGCAAAAATGGAAATGAGCAAGTCTTATATTTGACCGTGTAACTTTCTAAAACACCATAAAACCTGGACATAGGTGTGTACTGTTGTACTAATGAGACATTACCGAACACAAATATGAGTGTTTTAGAGCAGTAAAACACATAAAGCTGATGATATAATTAGTGAAATGGCAGTTTATGTGTGAAAATTGGAAAAAATAAATATGAACGCTAACTTTGGCCAGTGTTTGTGACTAAGTGACTATGAAGAAAGAAATACCCCATTTTGAATACCCTTGGTTGTCTACTTTTTCAAATGGTATGCCATGATGGGGGTAATTTTCATTCTTGGGCTGCCACACTGTCCCAAAGGCAACATAACTAAACTGGCAAATTTCAGTGTGTAAAAACAGAAAGGGGGAAAGCGCTATATTGCACCCTATAACTTTCCAAAACCACATAAAACATGTACATGGGGGGTAATGTTGTACTCGTGAGACATCGTTGAACACAAATATCTGTGTTTTATTGCATTAAAAGCTAACAGGATTAGAACATGCACAGTTAAAATGTCATGCAGAACTAATATGTGTGCATGAACTTAACATGAAAGAGGTAAGTTATGGTTGAGCAAACATATAGCTCAAATTATAGGCTTTGTTTTGGTTCAGAACTTGGACAATTTCCTCCATCCTTAAGGGGATAAGACCGGACATCAAAGGGACCAGCATTATTTGCAGTAAGGTACTGTGTTAAGTGTCCTAGGTTATGTTGGTTAAGTTTTACATTTTACATATCATTGGTTGAATATTATGGAACATGTCATGTTCATTATGCTTATGTAGTGTAGTCTCTTTTACAATACAGTCAAATTTGTGAAGCAACCAAATAGTTTAGGAAACCAATTAATAAACGGATTACGATATGACCTTATATAGACATTGCTGTTGTGGCAGGACATCGTCTGCCACACAATGCTTAAGATGTTGCACTCTTTTTTTAGCTTTGACGTCATAGCTTTCTACTATCCATTCATCAAGAAATGTTTTTTGCGATAAATATAAAACAAAATATATAAGAAAAAGTGCACTGCTGCAACTGGTTAAAAAAACCTATAAAGATGCTATTTGCAACTTTTGCTGCCATTTTACAACATACCACACTGACTAGCTAATGGAAGGACGAAAAGTGTGACTATCAACCACCACTTAAGATTGATTGCAAGACAATATTTCATAGGAAGCAAGAACTATTTAGTCCAAACCAAAACTAAATTTTTTTCCTTGGGGAATTCTATATTGTCCTTCTTGCAAAATGAATTCTTAACATAGTTAAACTGCCCATTTTATCATCATAAAAAGAAAGACCACTATACAGTCAATGAAAAACACATGATATCTAACATTTACCATATGTCAAACTAGACCTCTTGAGTGCAGGAAAATTAGATAATTTCATTCAGGCGTTAATAAATATGATCCAAACTTTACTGCTTGGCATGCCTGTTTGCACTCTTGTTCCCTTAGATGATTATAATGATCAGTAGAAACTCTATATGGTTCAAACTTTTCCTTCTGAAAAGAACTAAAGGGCCAATTTATAAAGTATTTTACAGCTGTACAAAGACAAGAATGTCCTTGCTTATGACATATTTACTTGGTAAGAATGACTTCTGTTATTTCTTTAAGGAAGAGTACTTAAGGAAACATTCATGAACTTTAAAAAAATGTATGCAATAGCTTCATAATATAATCTGGTAAAATAGTCTCAGGCACCTGGAGTCGGATTGTATAATGTACACAATTCACATGGAACGTAATAAGTATATGTATGCAAAGACATGTTGACTAAGATGAGTAATACCAAGTATTTGAAATGTGCTGGTATTCCAGCATTTTTTTTTGTTTGGAGTTTGGTAATAAAATTAAAAAAAATCGGTTTGCTAACAAAAAGATCACCAAAATTCCAAACTATAGTGATGTTACAGTTTGGGCAATTGCTTAAGTTTAATTTACATTTTTGAATAATATTCATATGTAGGCTCCAATGTTAGAGATTTGTTTAGGCATAGTCGTTGGTACATTTTATATACCTGTAGATGTGTCTATGTATGGTTACAATACATGACACTTAGTTACAGTTACGTAAACTATATACACTAAAGAGGTGAATGAATGGGTGTGAGAAGATACCCTCGAGCAGTGGTTCCAAATAGTGATGTTCCGAACGGTTCGCCGCGGACTCATCATTGAGTAAACTTTGACCCTGTACCTCACAGTCAGCAGACACATTCCAGCCAATCAGCAGCAGACCCTCCCTCCCAGACCCTCCCACCTCCTGGACAGCTCACTAAGAATGCAGCTTCACAATGGATGCTGTCCAGGAGGTGAGAGGGTCTGGGAGGGAGGGTCTGCTGCTGATTGGCTGGAATGTGTCTGCTGACTGTGAGGTATAGGGTCAAAGTTTACTCAATGATGAGTCCGTGGCGAACCGTTCATGGCGAACCGTTCAGCGAACCGTTCAGGACATCACTATTTGGAACCACTGCTCGAGGGTATCTTCTCACACCCATTCATTCACTCTGTTAAAGAGAAACATTAGAATAGAAAAGAGAGATTTAAGCCCAAAATAAGGATTGTCCCTCCTAAATAGAGAAACTTGAGGGTATACGATGGGCTATGACAATAAATACTTTGCAAAGTAACTTATCTGAATGTGCTACATGATTTCCAAATCTAGATTTTCATTATTGTTCCCTTTCACGCTAAGAAAAAAAGCAGAGCTTTGAATAGTCAAAAACTGAATGGAAAAATGCTGGAGGGAATGCTCTGCTTTTCCTTATCTCAGTGTGACAATATTTCCTTTCTGCCGCTCAGGGAGATTTCTTTTTCACGCAAATGTAGTGGTAAACCACGCATATGGATGGAGCTGGGCCAAAGCCACTGTATGTCATCATACGTTTCAGCATTTTATTTAAATAATTTGAGTCAAATAATAAACTTTTTACTGGAGCCTTGTATTTAATCATACTTCCATGCCTGCAATACTGAATCCTAGAGAGGCATATAAAGAAATTACATATAAAAAAGAAATTAAACTAAATCCCAAACATAGGTTTTAATTCTATCCTACCTATGAACCAGTGTTTAACTCGGTCTAGAGCCACATGCTCACAAACATCTACCATTGCCATAAAGCGTTAATTTAAAAAATTCAAATTGAACTTAAAATTAATTAAAACAATGAAAGGGGACACTCTAATGAACAGGACCACTACAGCGTATTTAGTGGTTCTGGGGCAAAGAGCCTGTCTTTGCAGTTTTTGCAGTGTAAACACTGCCTTTTCTTAGAAAAGGCAATGTCTACATGGCTGTCTAATGCCACCTCTTATGGCTGTGGCTTAGACAGACTAGTGTGCTGCTGCAATCTTAGCAGGACTAATATTTGGTGTCTCCATGTTCTGCATGATAATACTAAATGCTCCCCACAGAGATGTATCCCAATGAGGATATGCTGGTTGGTGCAGTGCAGCAATTGCTGAGCTTGTGCACTAATGCTTCCCTGTAGAGAAACATTTTATTGAATGAGATCCCCAAACATTTTTTTTTTTTTTTTATATTTAGAAGTGCGAGGGTGCCAATCTAAATAGCCCGTTGTATGTTCAAACATGTTTGTGTTCCAAATGCATGATTTTGTTCTATGTGCTACAGTGTTCCTTTTAACAAAAACAGCTAAATTGGAATACAAATCTTCAAGTCAGCTATGTTTCCAATTTAACAGTGATTGTTTTTTGACTCAAAAAATTTAATAAAATGATAAACATTTGTGTGAGTGAATGAAAGACAGCAGTTGCATTCATTTCTTTGATAAACACAGACGCTCAGTGTGCATATGCTCTCCTGTAAAGTTCTCCAGTGGAGATCTCAGGGGAAACAAATATTTTTGATCAACTTTTCATTTTTTCCTCTTTCTTAAACCCTCTTTGCAGACTTTTCTTTTTTTTTATCTTAATATGCACAGCTGTGATGGAGTACTGTACAACGTTAAGCCAGACAGGGCTCTATAAAATGATTACTTCACGCTGGAGGACTACTTTTTGCCAGACAAGTATAATGTACATTAAAGTACAATGTCTGTTAGATATTGACAGATTTTATACTGGAGTATAATACACTTGGGATCATTCCTTGTTCTAAAATTGCAAAACTACTTATATTATAAAACTATATTATATCTGTAATTTTCCTATTTTTTCACCAGATGACCTTACTGATTTAAGAACTGAGTTCTTATCTACACATTGCTACATACATCTACATCAAGCATGTCAAACTCAAAGGTTAACACGGGCCAAACAAACAAGGTTTAAGTTTATGTGGGCCGCAAAAAAAACCCAAACTTCAGTTTTCATAGAAACGTAGGTTTATTTTAAAAAGTACAGTGTAAAAAAAGTTGCTTAACTGACACTGGATGTCCTCACGCACGTGGGGCTTCAAAGTAAACAAAAGAGAGAATTTATTTCAAGGAGACGTGCATTTCCATATAACTAATGTTTCAGTCCAATTACCTTGACATATTAAGAAATGTTTGGTAATGGGACTGAAATGGTAAATGTATGCTGTTGCACAGCTGTAAAAAACAAATGACGTTATCTTGTTGATTTTGAAGTCCTGTGAGTGTGTTCTTCACTTTGGCTGAGATCATCAAACTTGATGATCTCAGCCAATCCAATGCTTTCCCATAGGAAAGCATTGGGAGGCTATTGTGCATGTGTGGCAAAAAGCTGCTCGGCCAATCAGCATCTTCATGTGGAGCGTTCGCCTCCCTCCCCCCAATTTAGTACACTGCCCCCTCCATCCCCTAATTTAATACACTGCCCTCCCCCCAATTTAACACACTGCCCCTCTCACCACTCTAATACACTGCTCCCCTCCCTCAATTTAACACACTGTCCCCACTCCCACCACAAGAATCAGACAGGAAATATCTTTCCTGTTTTGCGGCTGTTCGCAGCCACAGCACAAAGCGGCCCCAGGGCTGGCGGGCCTTTAAATATATTAATTGTGGGCCGCATGCGGCGAGCAGGCTGCAAGTTTGACATGCTTGATCTACATGATACAAGACATTCAAATACAAAATATTCACCACTTATTTTCTTTGAATTTTGATTGCACTCCAATCTTTTCTTTTTTTTCATGTTTATCACACATTAGGGAACTAGGCCTCTGGCGTTACTGCAGACCTCCAATCAGGCTCTGCTCATGCCCCTCTTCACTCAAGCTCTGCAGGTTCTACATACTCTGACTCTTTATACGCTATACATGTACAAATCTTTAATATGGTGTTACTGCTACAATAACCAGATCGCCACAAACAGAATCTTGGCAGTTACCCACACAACCTCTGAAAAGTAAATAGTTGCAGTGGATGTTGACAATAGTTTAGGGGGTGTTAGTATACAACCTCCCTTTCCATCAAGTTCCCCTGCCTTGTTTATCTTACCTATTTCACAATTGTGAAGAGAAAGAACAGTAACTCCTATTTCTGCTATATATCTCCAGATGTTACTTTCACATCATGCGATGTCATACGGATTGTGCTTATAATATCTCTGTGTTTACCTGCATGTTTCTGCATTTCTCTTCTCCATTTGCAGATTAAGATTCTTAGCTATGGCTGTGAAGCTGTTACTCATTCTGCACATATCTCTGCTTTGGCATCCTAAAATGTTATTAAAAGTCGCCATGATACTTCTTATCTCCAACAGAAGAATATGATGAAATGAATGTTCCATGTTAGTCAGCTGGTTCACCAAATACGTCAAACACATTTTGGCTAGTGTCTGCAAATAAAACAAGAATACACATTTAGTACACTCACTGTGGTCAAAAGGAAAATAAATTAGAAGAGTGACAAAGTCAGGGCATGGAAAAGTAGCTTCTAGAAAAAGCTGAGCTAGTTTTTTAAGGGTATGAATACTTTTAGCTTAATACTTTTTTTTAATACTAATGTAAATCTTCTTTATTATTGGCTGGTTGGCCACATACTTAGTATCCCATAGGGTATGCTGCTTCATCCCTGTATGTTGTCATTGAAGGAGAACTCTCAACTATACTTTGGGTGTTTTCAACCTAGTTCTCAAAGCAAATCAGTACTGTAGGTTTTATTAATATTTCCATGGGAATGGAATTGTTAAACTGAAAATAGTGGACTGCTGATGTACCTCAAGGACTGAGTTGGGACACTACTACTTGAGGTCTTTGCTAATCTTTTTTCAAACTAGAAAGGAACCGCAGCTGAGACTGTGCAGGACAAATATAAATGATCTAAGTAATAAATCACATTATACTAGTGCTGCTGATGTGATCCTTAGTAGCAGAATTGGATTTGAGGTGCCTCTGCCACTGAATCGCAGGTCCTACAAATGTAAATTAGTGCTTTTTTTTCTATATTGTTTATTTTTGTTGTGCATGTTTAGACATGATGGGTTGTAAAAACATCTCAAACAGTATCAAACGCTGCAAAAACAATTAGATATGTGATACATGACATGTTAAGGGGCTCACATTTTATGGGTGAGACATCAGGAGCAATATAGTCATTTCTAAGTACAAGGTGAGATAGAGGTTGAAAAGCAGAGAGTTTGAATGAGACATGAGTATAAATACAACAGGATAGATTAAGTAACATTCTTAATGATCGTCTGTGTGTCCCAAGTGCTAGATCATATATGGAGTCTATATAGTGGCGTGGGTAGCAGTATATGTGTAAATGTGTATAACATGTTGGGACCTGTTGAGAGATTGGCAAACGCATATGAAGAGTTTATCAAAAAAGGTTGCGTACCTTAGAGAGGTAGGCTCTTCATGTATCCAGCTATAAGATCTAAGAGTGGGGTAATATGCATTTTGAGTGTGTCCCTAACCAGTGGGGTTGCAGGTGGGATGGGGGGGGGGGATATTAGCCTAATTGTGAGGACTGTGGGACTCCTGGTACTGGAAAGCCCCACTGGCTTGCGATGTTGGACACATGCGGCACTGAAGTCTGTAATCTCACAGAACTTTATAATACAACAATTCTCAGGAAAGTAAAAAAACAAGATAAATACAAGTAAGAGGAATCAGATGCATTCTGAACTTTTCGAGTGTCTTGTTGATATATGTGTCCAACAGGGACCAAGGAATAAAGTCACCTCTCTCAGTCATGGTAGCAGGACACGGGTACCACTGGTCGTCGGAACAAATGGGATGATGTTGTCACGGTTCCAAGCATTTGTCAGGTGTCTGGGCTGGTATTGGCTGGTGTCAACCCCAGTGTTTCCAAGAAGGCAGGTGCCTCCGCCAGTGATTTACCGGTGTGAGAAGTCCCTTCATGGTTCACAATCACGGTGCTCTTTGTTCCCCACCTGTAGGCGATGCCCGCTGCTCTGAGTGTACTGGCT